GTTCCCTGTAAGAATGTTACTGCTCAATGAAACGTTCTCTGTAAGAATGTTACCGCTCAGTGAAATGTTCCCTGTAAGAATGTTACTGCTCAGTGAAACGTTCCCTGTAAGAATGTCATCGCTCAGTGAAACGTTCCCTGTAAGAATGTTACCGCTCAGTGAAACGTTCCCTGTAAGAATTTTACTGCTCAGAGAAACGTTCCCTGTAAGAATGTTACTGCTGACTGAAACGTTCCTTGTAAGAATGTTACTGCTCAGTGAAACGTTCCCTGTAAGAATGTTACTGTTCAGGGAAACGTTCCCTGTAAGAATGTTACTGCTGAGTGAAACGTTCCCTGTAAGAATGTCACCGCTCAGTGAAACGTTCCCTGTAAGAATGTTACTGCTGAGTGAAACGTTCCCTGTAATAATGTTACCGCTCGGTGAAATGTTCCCTGTAAGAATGTTACTGCTCAGTGAAACATTCCCTGTAAGAATGTTACTGCTGAGTGAAACGTTGCCTATAAGAATGTCACCGCTCAGTGAAACGTTCCCTGTAAGAATGTTACTGCTGAGTGAAACGTTCCCTGTAAGAATGTTACCGCTCGGTGAAATGTTCCCTGTAAGAATGTTACTGCTCAGTGAAACGTTCCCTGTAAGAATGTCACTGCTGAGTGAAACGTTCCCTGTAAGAATGTTACTGCTGAGTGAAACGTTCCCTGTAAGAATGTTACTGCTGAGTGAAACGTTCCCTGTAAGAATGTTACTGCTCAGTGAAACGTTCCCTGGAAGAATGTTACTGATCAGTGAAATGTTCCCTGTAAGAATGTTACTGCTCAGTGAAACGTTCCCTGTAAGAATGTTACTGCTAAGTGAAACGTTCCCTGTAAGAATATTACTGATCAGTGAAATGTTCCCTGTAAGAATGTTACCGCTCGGTGAAATGTTCCCTGTAAGAATGTTACTGCTCAGTGAAACGTTCCCTGTAAGAATGTCACCTCTCAGTGAAACGTTCCCTGTAAGAATGTTACTGCTAAGTGAAACGTTCCCTGGAAGAATGTTACTGATCAGTGAAATGTTCCCTGTAAGAATGTTACTGCTGAGTGAAATGTTCCCTGTAAGAATGTTACTGCTCAGTGAAACGTTCCCTGTAAGAATGTCACCGCTCAGTGAAACGTTCCCTGTAAGAATGTTACTGCTAAGTGAAACGTTCCCTGTAAGAATATTACTGATCAGTGAAATGTTCCCTGTAAGAATGTTACCGCTCAGTGAAATGTTCCCTGTAAGAATGTTACTGCTTGTTACCGCTCAGTGAAATGTTCCCTGTAAGAATGTTCCTGTAAGAATGTTACTGTTGAGGGAAACGTTCCCTGTAAGAATGTTACAGATCAGTGAAATGTTCCCTGTAAGAATGTTACTGCTGAGTGAAATGTTCTCTGTAAGAATGTCACCGCTCATTGAAACGTTCCCTGTAAGAATGTTACTGCTAAGTGAAACGTTCCCTGTAAGAATGTTACTGCTAAGTGAAACGTTCCCTGTAAGAATGTTACTGCTCAGTGAAACCTTCCCTGTAAGAATGTTACTTCTTGTTACCGCTCAGTGAAATGTTCCCTGTAAGAATGTTACTGCTTGTTACCGCTCAGTGAAATGTTCCCGGTAAGAATGATACTGCTCAGTAATATGTTTCCTGTAAGAATGTTAATGCTTGTTACCGCTCAGTGAAACGTTCCCGGTAAGAATGTTACCGCTCAGTGAAACATTGCCTTTGAGAATTTTACTGCTCAGTGAAACGTTCCCTGTAAGAATGTTACTGGTCAGTGAAACGTTCCCTGTAAGAATGTTACTGGTCAGTGAAACGTTCCCTGTAAGAACTTTACTGCTCATTGAAACGTTCCCTGTAAGAATATTACTGGTCAGTGAAACGTTCCCTGTAAGAATGTTACTGCTAAGTGAAACGTTCCCTGTAAGAATGTTACTGGTCAGTGAAACGTTCCCTGTAAGAATGTTACTGGTCATTGAAACGTTCCCTGTAAGAATGTTAAAGCTCAGTGAAACGTTCCCTGTAAGAATGTTACTGCTACGTGAAACGTTCCCTGTAAGAATGTTACTGCTCAGTGAAACGTTCCCTGTAAGAATGTTACTGCTTGTTACCGCTCAGTGAAATGTTCCCTGTAAGAATGTTACTGCTTGTTACCGCTCGGTGAAATGTTCCCTGTAAGAATGTTACTGCTTGTTACCGCTCAGTGAAATGTTCCCGGTAAGAATGATACTGCTCAGTAATACGTTTCCTGTAAGAATGTTAATGCTTGTTATCGCTCAGTGAAACGTTCCCGGTAAGAATGTTACCGCTCAGTGAAACATTGCCTTTGAGAATTTTACTGCTCAGTGAAACGTTCCCTGTAAGAATGTTACTGGTCAGTGAAACGTTCCCTGTCAGAATGTTACTGGTCAGTGAAACGTTCCCTGTAAGAACGTTACTGCTCATTGAAACGTTCCCTGTAAGAATGTTACTGGTCAGTGAAACGTTCCCTGTAAGAATGTCACCGCTCAGTAAAACGTTCCCTGTAAGAATGTTACTGGTCAGTGAAACGTTCCCTGTAAGAATGTTACTGGTCAGTGAAACGTTCCCTGTAAGAATGTTACTGCTCATTGAAACGTTCCCTGTAAGAATGTTACTGGTCAGTGAAACGTTCCCTGTAAGAATGTTACTGCTAAGTGAAACGTTCCCTGTAAGAATGTCACCGCTCAGTGAAACGTTCCCTGTAAGAATGTTACTGGTCAGTGAAACGTTCCCTGTAAGAATGTTACTGGTCAGTGAAACGTTCCCTGTAAGAATGTTACTGGTCATTGAAACGTTCCCTGTAAGAATGTTAAAGCTCAGTGAAATGCTCCCTGTAAGAATGTTACTGCTAAGTGAAACGTTCCCTGTAAGAATGTTACTGCTTGTTACCGCTCAGTGAAACGTTCCCTGTATGAATGTTACTGCTGAGTGAAATGTTCCCTGTAAGAATGTTACTGCTCCATGGAATTTTCCCTGTAAGGCCTTTAACAGACAGCAAACCATTATTTTTCTTTTCGAGAGTCAGTAAAACTAGTGACAGTTCACAATATCATATAATGGGATAGACGGTGACAGGTACAGGAAAGCTGAATTGTTAAAGGCAGATATTAGAAAATGGTCAACTTCTGATACCGATACTCCTAGGATACTGTTATTGTTTTTCACATCGCCCTAAGCTCTAGCTATCATGTGAATGTTGCCCTTCACAATATTACAGATTTATGTCATTCTATATAAAACATCAATGTTTGTGGTTCTATTCTTTTAAACACACGGTAAGTATTTTACTGAAAACGAAATTCTGAAAATCTCTGATTAAAATGCTTCATTGGAATCTGAATCTAATAGACTTATTTCTGTTTTTCTATTAAGTAATTCTGTTTCTTTCAGTTATCACTGACATTTTATACTATTGGCACTCCAACTGACTTTTGATATATATTTTATTTAATATAATAGAACACATACATTTAAATATTCCGTTTAAAAATGCTTGTTTTAAATGGGTCAATGATATAATGGCAATCCATTTATATGTCTATAAAATTACTAAATCATAGTATAAAAAACCACAGGGTTTTTAAATGGATAGCACTAGATAAGGGTGTGGATGGGAGGGCAGGGGTTGACACAGCCTTGAAATGTTGCATAGTTTGGGGTTTGTGTTGTCATTAGAGGGATTTACAGTTAAGGTTAGGTAGAAGAAAGATTTGGGCTACATGGTTGTCAAGGTGACGTGGACTGTAATGCTCATGATTTTCAACAAGATGAGACTGATATTAGTTACAGCTCATAACACATTGAAGGCAGGTTGTTCTAACCTTAAACCTAAGCCCTCTCTAACCAATATTAATCCTCTAACCTTAACCTAACTCCACTCACCCTATATACCCTAAAGTATTTTTTTAGCTTAATTTCCCTTAAAGTTACAGCATGGCACACATTGCTACACCCTGCAGGTCCTATTTAATGTAATGTCTCCCCCCCTCTATTTAAAGACTCTCTAACTTGGTAAGCGCTGTGTAATTATTTTATCACCAAATTTATCGGCGACTTTTTTAAGCCCAATTTTCTAAAGTGAATCCGACCAGAGGCAGACTTCGTCTTTATCACCTAAAGCCTGTGACTAAACAAGCGAAGTCACAAAGCGTACGGTGACAGAGAGAAGATTTCTCACACCTTCCTCCGCACGGCCTCCTGCGTCCTGGTGCATTAAATAATGCATGACATATTTAGCAATGTGTTGTGCTGCGTGAGACACTCAGTGTGCCTTGATAGGCAGTCACACAGACCCTGATAGCTAGCTGCCCTGCTGCATGAATTCACATTTATTGATTGTGAAAGAGAACACAGGCTCTGATAGACCAGCCTTGGTCTCTCATTAACCCCCTCCTTGTCATCCTCATAGGGGCCATGCCTCAGCCTTTCATTGGCTGAATGGGAGCAGCATGCTTTTCACATCACCAGGGCCAGCTGATGGACTGCAATGTGGGGTAGTTGGACTTGTAGTGTGCAGCAGTCTCCTGTGGGTGAAATGAATATTCTGCAAGGAAGCAGTGTAAGGAGCTTAAATGACCACTAGGTGGCGGTGGCATACTGTGAGAGGTTGAGCTGCACTGGGGAAGTCCCAGGAATCCTCTGCCAGTATAAGACTTTCATAGGAGAGCAGTAAGAGTGTCTCTATCTCTCAGACAGTGTGATGGCAGAGACTGCAGGAGACACAGTCTGTGAAGCCCTTGGAGTAATAAGGACCCAGGATCTTTAACTTCTTATTTTACTGGGAACTGAAAGCTGCTCAGCTCACATTTCCCTGGGATCATCCAGCTCAGAATTTAACCCTTTGACACCCAGAGTGAACTTGGCTGAGACCCAACTGATGGAAGCAAAGTAATTTTCTGGGAGGCAGAGTTTTAAGTGGATACACTGTATCTTTCTTGCAGAGTGATTGATTTCATAAGCCATGAAGGTCTGTGATGGTCTCCTCATGGTCACTGCTCTCCTAGCTTCCTTCCTGGAGGTCTCTGCCCTGTCTCTGGAGAGACGCCCTGTCCTGGCATCCCACAGCCGTGCCCACCAGGGGCCCAAGGAGCCCGGCTTCACCAGGATGAAGAGGAAGAACCTGGCAGTGGATTTTGTGATTCCTGCAGCTTTCCGCAACTCTCTGAGGGACTTGTTGGGTCTTTTCCCAGCGGGAACTGCCACCACCAACTTCCAGGCCATCTCCAGCCTGTCCTTAGACTGCTGGCCTCTGGTCAGGTCCTTCTCTCAGCATGGAATCCTCCATCACCACCAGGACCTGAAGAAGGAGCAGATGTTCCCTGGTCGCCAGCCGGCTCTGCTGTCCAAGGTGCTGAAATCCGGATTCCTGAAGAGTCTCCGCAGGTCCAAGCAGCTACTGCTAGAGGTTGGAGAAGACATGGTCAGAGACGGCTGTGGAGTGGACTGGGAACCCAGAGCCACAGGAGAGGGTAGGAATGACAGCAATGGGGTTCCAGCAGGTGAACCCCAAAATTCTGCCATGAAGAGGAAGCTGGAATTTAACCTGACTGAGCTGTTTAGCTGGTGGATAAAATCTAAAGAGGGCAGATTAAGGATTAGACTAATGCCCCAAAGATCTGCTTTATACCCTGGGAGGGAGGAAAGTTTATCTACAGCTCTGAGGGCATCTCATCCAAAACTAACCTTCCAGATTCTAAGAAAGGGTGAGTAACATGGGGCTTTCTACCCCTCCAAAAATAAAATTTGAAATGATCAATGAATTGACATTTTGTTAAACTGATAAGAAATTAACAAAAGTAATTTATTTTTTTAGTACCATGTTTTTGTGGAATTAAAATTGTGCATTTCCAAACTCAAATATGAGATCCCAGACTGAAAAACCCCAGAAATACATAGATTATATGGGTTTGTATTGCTGTAACAAAGCTGTACTGCTTCAAATTAAAAAGATAAACTCAACACACACTTGACCATAAGAGGCAGCTCTTGTCAGTCAGTGATCTGTCAGATTTTCTGTATTAGAAGAATCCTGTTACTGCAATCTCACTCAATTTAACCCCCTAAGGACACATGACATGTGTGACATGTCATGATTCCCTTTTATTCCAGAAGTTTGGTCCTTAAGGGGTTAATCATAACTTCCTTGTACTAAGTATTGCTAATACATCCTCAAACCCCAAGCTAAATTATCTATCAGGTAGCCTTAATGCCTCTATATATCATGTACATAGTACTTAACCCTTTGTGTTTGATATAAACATGTGAATGAATAATTGCAGATAATTTATAGTACCATTGCACCAAAGAAACCTGTTACATAAAGACATTTTAAGCTACAGTGAGCCCATTATATAATTGCCTGAAACATGTCTTAAAGTACTATTGACATGTGCTTAACATAAATCTTACAATGATTTAGATGCATTGTGTTTTTAAGAAGGACATTCATGGCTGTATGCAGTCTGCTGGAAGGTGTCTATTTACTAAACAGTGACTTTGCGTGACCTGCTGTTTAGTTAACAGAGCCCACATTCTTCTAGATCAAAGTGATATCTTATAGAGGTTAATGTTTAATATAGAATAAAGTATAGCTTACTTAGCCAGAGATGTATAAATATGTGTCATATTGTTTAAAGCATTTTATATTCACATCTTTTGGGCATTGTTTGACTTCTAAAACAATTACTGTTCATTGTATGACTTTTCACTTTTATTGTGTCCAAATCATGTACATCTCTAGACAGAATCTATGCGTTCTCTTCTCAAATGCAAAACTTATCTGCAGTCACAGCTGGGCTGTTTTCTCCAAACATCACAATTCATTAGACTTTATGTGAATACATGGTAATGTGGTAATTTGCTACTTTTGTGATATATATACTAGTTTGTTGTATGAAGGTGATTTACTGACTGACTAATATTTCTGTTATTTAGACATCTGGGAATCTGGACACTGTGATTGTGTAATATTGTGATTTGTTTTATGAAAAGGTGAAGAAAGGACACTCTATGTGACTGCAAAGGTCCCCAACAGATATCAAAATCACTGGCTCCTTTCTTGTGGGGAGACTGTTTGTTTAAATGTTATTTTGATGGGATTCTGCTATATGATATAGTCATGTGCCAATAGGGGGCGTTCTCTCAATTAGTTTTTTGTATCTAATACATGAGCTTCTTACATCTAAACAGGTGATTGACATCATGCCACATAGCCGTCTTAATCAGAATTAGAAAGCACAAAAAGAAAATTAGTAAAAGTACAACTGATAGATGACTTAGCAACATCATGTACCTTCACATGTCACCGAATGAATTAACACTAATGTTTTCATCACCCTCAATAGTTCTATATTTTTCTGTGAATTACATGATTGAAAGGTCCTCAGCAGAAACAGTCCACATGTAGCCCTCTTTTAGGAGATGGAGACAGACCAATCAGTGTTTTAGATGTCTGATAGCCACCTACCCATAGTTCCAACCGCCTGTGCCAATGTACAGGGAACTGCCAACCTGTTCTGCCACAGCCCTTGAAGTTTGGCATCTGGAGCAATGGAAAAATAATCGATCTATGTCAGATCTTCTAAAATCACACACAGTTTGGTTTTAAGAGAGAGTTTAAAATGTCATTATCAAAGCAAATCACTGTTTATGATTTTAGTTTTAATCAAATGTATTGGTTTCCAGTCTCAGACGAGTCATTTGTCAATGCCAGCGCATATTATGTGTTTCATACAAATGGAGATTGTCATATGATGTTTTCTTTTTTCCTGTTTTTTTTCCTTCAAACACCATTAACTCGACTGGCTGCATTTAACCTTTTCACAATTAATGACATACCAGGGTTGTAACAAAATCCACCCTAAGGTTGCCTAACTCTGGTACTGAATGGGTTAATGAGGGCATAGTCTCACCCTAGACACATATAGGGTTATTCACAGAAACATTTACTTTCAAAAAGATAAAAGCACAAGTATACAATCAAAAAAATGAGGATTTATTTAAAAAATCTACATTTTAAGATAAAGTATTCTTTTAATACTTTCAATTGTGATTAACCCCTTTCATTTGTGTTAATTTGTTTCTGTATCAGATGAAGAAGCAAATTACTCTCTCTACCATCATCCAACTTCTAGATTAAACCCAATCAGCCGTTTCATTTCCCAATATAGCCAACCATAGCCAGCTCTTCTAAAAGGGCCAAATCTCCAACCTAGAACTCCAAATGAATGCTACCTCCAAAGGTGTTCTAAAAGAGCTGATCATAGCATAGCTGGCTCTAACTTCCTACAATGTGAATTTATATTATGCTTGTCCAGCTCTCCCTGTCTCCAAATCCTGCAGGCTTACTCTTCCCATCTCAGTGTATCCATGATTGTAAGACGTGAGACGAATTAGCCCCCAGAAAGTCTCGTGGGGGGAGGTGAATGGAAGATCTTCCCCAGTCATAATGGTGACACATTAAAATCGTATGTTTTACTGTTTACAAAGGTAGAAAAACAAAACATATTCTAAAAAAAAATCTCCTTCTACACATCACTTTTAAACAATTTAATTTCAACAGGACTATGCATTTAAAATAAGCCCATTATTGAATAACTGATTATCTTTATGATAAATGTTACATATATATAAAGGCAGGGTCAGGAAGCTGATTTCAGTCTATGGAAACCTGCATGATTTAACAAATAATCCCTAAGGGGTGTATATTTTTGTGAAAGTCTGTACCCCTTCCCAGAATCTTCTTTGGTTTCTGTATCACCTTATTTATCACATCAGTCACTGCTAAACCTCATAGCTGGGAACTTTGCAACACACTGTATAGAGAAAACACAGGGCCTATACACTAAACACCAAACTGTGGTTTATTGAACCTGGAATTATGAACTATGATAAAAAGGGAGATTTTTCTAAAAATCCTCTCAAAGGGCTTTATTCACAGCCTGACCAGTTCATCGTAAAGTTTACAATTTATTTTTCAGTTCACAACAATTTAGTGTTTAGTGAATTCTGGCAATCTTTTTGCCCAAATCCTTTCTGACTGCGTTATTCATATTATGTCATGGTCTGATCTCTCTTACCGTTACTTTATACATTTGGAAGGTAATACCAACAAAGTACCAACAATGTAGCGTATCAGAACCTGAGCCAGTAAAATGCTCCACTTGATGTGAGTTCAGTGAATCAGGAATATCCTAATATGGGCTGAGATTTTTGTATTGCACTGCACTGTATCTAACTAGCTTTACAACATGCATGGGGGTGCATAGAATACAGAAACACAATATTAAACCTAAATATTACACCAACACCCAAAAAGGTAACAACTTTTTTTTTTTATAGCATGATACCATCCAGAGATTTTAGTATAATAGTATCCTGTCTGTGAATTAAGTGCTGGGTCTGTAATTACTCTGTGTATTCTGATTTCCCTCTAGCAGTCTGCAAAGAGAGGGGTTAGTTGGTTATGTTTATTGCCAGAAGGAGTGGGCATCTGGTGGTACTATAATTATGAGGAGGAAGAGTTGGCATGGTTTTAGAGGAGGGAAGGAGATTTCTCCAGCGCCTAGTATAATAAATGGTGCAGTATCATAGATCACCCTTTAACAGAAAGTGCTACAGAGTCCTGTATTTAAAATGTTAACCCTCAACCCACTGAATGAGGGTATATCTTTATTCCTTCCACCCCCACCCCCACCCATTCATATTGTTAAACAATATGCAGCTGTACAAAAAGTATAAAATAGGAGGAACCTTGCGCATGCTCTGATACACTGAATTGCTGAGACAAGAGGAGAGATTAACCCCTTAAGGACACAACTTCTGGAATAAAAGGGAATCATGGCGGAATTAAGGGGTTAAAGGGACACTACAGACATCAATACCACTTCATCTTAGCATTTAATTGGAGGAGTGTAGCGATTGGTTGCACATGCGTATCTCCAATACAATGCTCCTCTATGTAAAGCATTAGATTGGTTGAGATTGCAGAAGACTTCAGCTGGCGTTCTGACGTCTTCGGGGGCGGAGCAAGAAGCTGCAATGGAGGAGTCTCAATTCTGTAAACGAAGTAATAGTTAACGTTAATTTTACACAGAAAACGGTGCTGGACAGCTATTACACTGCCAGAAGGGAATCTATAGTCCCAAAAAAATAACGATTGTTATTATGCTGATGCAAATGGAGGATTAATGATACTTTGCAGAGACACAAGCACTAAATACATTACAATATTGTGAAGCCGACACAGAATGCTAACCTGATGTTTAACCCCTTAAGGACACATGACGGAAAAATTCCGTCATGATTCCCTTTTATTTCAGAAGTTGTGTCCTTAAGGGGTTAAAAGAATCTTGCAGAACAGGGCATTAGTTTTCCATATTATAATTGTATCGGTGATAGTTTACACTGGGATATCTGTATACATTACCTCCAGCCCTGAAGACAGTACAGCAAAATAAAATAAATATTATTTAGAATTGCAGAGTGTTTATCTTGCAAATTCCCTATCCAGATATTATTGTGTCTAAATTATTTATTGCTTAGATTTTGTTTTCATATTTTTCTCATTAATTACAATGACCGATTAGAAAGGGTAAAGTATAAAACGTTATTATTAACGCATATTAAAATAAAATGATCTTGGAAGAGTGTGAATAAAGACGATCTGTTCACATTTCTCTCTTTTTTATATTTTAACTGCATGTTAATAATGAGACTGTATGTCAGGACATGTTCTGTGTCATTTGCGTTCCAGTATGTCAAAGTCAGCTTCGTATAATTTAGTTAGTTAATATTTATATATTGCACAAGCAAAATCTTCAGGAAATGTAGTTTAACCCCTTAAGGAAACATGACGGCCATTTTCCGTCATGCTGGTCTTTTATTTACGAAGCTGTGTACTTAAGGCTAAATGATATGCACAACATGTGTTGAATCCATGCCTGTGCATCCATCCATGACTCTGCATCCATTGGACAACGTCATGCCTGCTCGGAGTGCAAGGAAAGAGCTAACTGTAGGAAAATACATAGAAAATATACAGTCATTGCATCTATATGTTACTGTAACGGCACCCCATGCATAAAAGGGGTAAACCGCCGTTTAGTAGATCTTCCCTTCCAGAGACACGGGCACATCTACTGCAGAACACCACACTCCCGAACTGAATACAAGGGAATGCTCCAAACTCCCGAACTGCATACAAAGTAGCACTCCAAACTCCCGAACTGGAACCTCACGAATAGCTGCAATTGTAACGGCACCCCCAGGCATAAAAGGGCTAAACCGCCGTTTAGTAGATTTTCCCAGAGACGCAGGCACAGCTACTGCAGAACACCAAACTCCCCAACTGAATACAAGGGAATGCTCCAAACTCCCGAACTGGAACCTCACGAATAGCTGCTAGCAGACGAACAGGAAAAGCACCCAAGCGGCTTACACTCCTGGCAATCAGTCTCTAACAGCATACAGTAAATCCCCACAAAGACGAGACAAAGCTTCGTGTTGAGGGTCAAGCAGTGATCTGGTTTATTCAGGGCTACCTGCCCAGTATTTATGCAGGTCTCCCACCTGGTGGACACTCCCCTAGGGGACCAGATGTGAGACTGTGACAAGGGACAGACATGCACCAATGACAGACACACAGAAGTAAAACATCCCCACAATGCATCCTAATTCCCTCCCCTCTATCCTGGAAATAATTGGGAAGTAATCCAATTATCTCCCAGGACAGAGGCAAAACTCCATTACACACGTGGTTATAATAAAACACTAAAATACAATAAAATACATAATGTTACCTTTCTCACATAAAATATATACATGTAACCCATCCCCAGATAGCTGGGATCTGAGTGCACAATTGTACCGAATAGCGCTTAGATCCTATACACACAGTTCAAGTGCCATGGAGCCAAAGTCTTTAATTGCACGAATAGGCTCCATGGCTGTGCTATCTGGGTTAAAGCATTCACATAAAACAAAGTCCCGAATGATCAGGTGTTCGGTTAAATAGCCACGAATAGAAGCAGGGAAGGCTGGAGGCTCAGTGGTGCCTGCACGTAAAAGTGTCCGCTTTTAGCGCACGGTTTCCGGGCTGAGCACCGCTTGCCGTCCGGGGAGTTAAGTGTAACTGCGGCTACCCAGTAACAGTCAATTAAGCTGCGGTTAACCGCAGCTACTGGGTGGTCAATTGACTGCACCCGCCAGCTTCTGGACGGTCAATTAACAGCACCTGCCGGCTCCCCACGGTTCTGGGGAGGCTAATAGAAGGCGGTTTGTGCGGTAGACTAAATTTACCGAACGACTGTGCAGAAAGGCATGAATAAACCTTTCTGCACAGTAGAAATTAACTGTTTAACTGCCGGTCCATAATCCAAAGGCAGCAGGCAGGCAACCAGGCTCCTCCAATGCAATGTGGCGAGATTGGTCTTGTCACAGTTACAGATTGTCTAATGTTACTTTGTATCTATATGGTACAGATTCACAAATGTTACTTTTTATCCATATGTTACAGATTATATAATGTCACTTTTTATCTATATGTTACAGATTATATAATGTCACTTTTTATCTATATGTTACAGATTATATATTACTTTGCATCTTTGTATCTATATGTTGCATTTATTTATTTATAAAATATTTTACCAGGAAAGATACATTGAGATTTCTCTTGTTTTCAAGTATGTCCTGGGTCCACAAAACATTGCATTGATACATGAGGGTACAATAAAACACAAAAACAATATTAATACACAATAAATACAAAATTTAACATAGAACAGGTAGGAAATATATAATCAACCATGACACGTGCATTCTGTTTTGAGGTATGTAGAGAGGGATCTCTTAAAGGACTTTAGACTTGGGGAAGATTTGAAGGTGTGCAGGAGGTCGTTCCACAATTGCGGCGCTCTGTAGGAGAAGGAGGATCGGGACGCTTTCTTTTTGTATCGAGGTAGACTAAATAAAGTGCTGGTACTGGATCGGAGGTTATAGGAGGTGGGAACAGCCGAGGAGAGCATTCTTCTCAGGTAGGGTGGGAGTTTCCAAGAAATGCTCTTAAACACAAGGCTGGAAAGATGAAGGGTGCGTCTGGATTCCAGCGACAGCCAGTTTAGTTCTTTTAGCATGTCACAATGGTGGATCATGTAATTACATTGTAGCACAAATCGGCAGAACGAGTTATACAATATATTAAGTTTATTAATCCCTTAATGCAGTTCCGGTGTTCTATGCTGTCCCCATTGTAATGGGCTTTAAAGCCGTTGTGGCGGCATAGAATGCCATAACGGCTTTCTACCCCGGGAGCTCCAGTGGAATTACCCCCGCCTCGATCCTTTTCGGGAGGACTGCCTGAAAGCCTTTTACTGCGTACTTCACTTCACTTGCCAAGGGGTGCAACTTTAAACTATAGAAAAACCTCGATAACAATCGCCTTCCCACAAGGTGCTGCTGGATGGCTTTGCATCTGAATGCAGAGAGCTTTTGCCGCCAGAACTAGAGGAAGGGGGGTCTGATGATCAAACCTTCCCCGGGGAAACAAAAGGAAGGCCGAAAGGTTCCGCCTGTGGCAGTCAGTGCGGAGCAAGGATTTAAACTTATAAGCGGATAATTACAATATGACTCTTGCTCGAAATACTTTTTGATATATTAATGCTTATTCTTTGCAAATTCTTTATGAGAGACTTCCAATTTAATATAATTGATTCCTTTTTTTTTTTTTGAGGAGTGGGGCGGTTGATTTTATTTAAAACATCCATCCTATTCTTGTTTTTTGTAAAATAAAATAAAAAATTCTGAAAAAAAAGACATGGAACATTTTCTATGCAGATTACATAATTTAGTGAATTATTGGTTTTAAAATACCCACCACGAGTTACCTACCAAACGATGCTAGTTTCGATCCTCTCTCCTCCTCTCTCTGCAAGCCTGAGATGGGGGAAAATGTTTTAAATTATGAATTATGTGATTAGGTAAAATTAGGTAAATAATCACACCTCTCGGGTATTGGAGATTCAACCTTTGGACTCGTAGTGTATGATGTGTCCACACTACCTTAGTGCCATTGTTTTCCCATTATGCATAAGTCACAATCATGTCTTGCAGATATTCGGGTGATTCTTGACTTTTGACTCACCTTGTAAATCTATTTCTCATTATTTTACTCGTGATTTTCCAGTGAACAAAATATGAGCATGACTTGTCCCATAAATAATGTAGATATATGCTTTTAGGGAATAATCCAGAAAACAGACTTATATTCAGATGGTTTTAGTTTTACAGTTAGCAGTCTATTGTTTTTTTTACATTAGTCAAAAGTAGTTTTATTTACTTATTAAAAATGCCATTTTGATCAACTGCTGGCACAGTGGAGGATATAGCATGTCCATAAACAATGTTTCTTCTCAGTTTTTTTTCATGAGAAGTGAGCAAAGAAAGAACACTGTGTGCCTTCTGAGTTAGATTTCACTGTTCCTTCACCAAGATGTGACATTTATTTGACTTTAATCAGAGCATTAAAAGATTCATACTGGTGCACAAAAGCATAAAAATATCCATTTCCCATTTACATTTATTGCAACAATTTTAATGAAATTATGACTCACTTGCCATTTTGTATCTGTATCAGAGACAGTGAGATTTATTTACCAGCTGTGGCTGGACCCAAGGGCACAACCTGATTGTTTGGGAAAAGAAGAAAGCTGATTAGTGAATGGTAGATTTTAACCACTTTTCTACTCATAGTTTGAAACATGCGAGCATAGCTAACATACTAATTTCTGATGGAACACCAATTTTATAACATACAATGTGCACAAAGGTAGCAACAATGATCACAAACCTTGATGATGTTATTTAAAAAAAATCATCTTGTTTTTTGAGAATACGGATCACTAAGATGGTATGCGAGTAAAAAAGTATGTATACCCCACCCTTTGATTGACCTTAGCAAGAGATAGCGCCGGGTAATACAATGTATTAAACTCGGATCTCTTACTATGACAGATACATATCTATGGAACATTTGAGGTGATTTTCTGCCGTGGGAATTGTTCATTTAAATAACACATGCATTTTACTTATAGAAATAATATTTTTTTGTTTTCTATCATGTGTCTGTCCTTTTCTTTAATTGTATTTTGATATGGTTTAATATGCTTTCATATTAGACTTGTGCACAGCAAGAAATTTCGGTTACACCAAAAATAAGGGTTCATAAAACCTACCTAGTGTTCGGACCACATATATGGGTTCTTATTCATAAGCTTATGAAAATGTTTACATCATGTTGAGCACTCGTACATCTTATGGCACTGTATTTTTTAAACTTTATTGAAGTCTGCCTATATGTTTGTAAATACAAGCTGTTAAGGTATTTGTGACATTTCTTGTTTTACGATGTAACAGAATTACCTTTTGTAACTGACATATTGTATATTGTATATGTGAAATCCCTTATGTTTGTATGTTTTTATATATCTGCAAAAAAAAAACTATAAAAATCATATAGTGAAAAAAAAAATAATAATAATTTTTCTCAAAGATAGTAATTTTTTTGAGGATCCCGAAATTCGATCAGATGTCGGTTCTGTTTGGCTGAATACTGATTTGGAATACGAATCAGAAGAGCGAATTAAAAAAACATGAAAATAGGCCAATTAAAATATATACATAATTAGGAAAAGTTTTCTCTGCCAAACACCTGATCGGCCCAAATTTGGCTGAATTACCATTCAGCTGAAATAAATCTTTAAGTTTATGCAATATGTGTTTTAAGGTTTGTATGTAATAGTAAACCTATGGCATGTATGGGGTGTTAGCTGTTAATAACTTGGCACTAGACAGAGGCTGTTGGAAGGCTAGTTACTGAATTACTGAGTAATGGTTAGCAGCGCCCATAGAGAGTAGTGACAGCCGTTAGCTGCTGCTTAGTGACTTGCCTTAGGTGACAGCAGCACATAACTCTTTATAATTGCTGGTGAAATGTTACTTTCATTAAACAGTCACCACTCTCTAACAGTAGGAATGGGGACTTTACAAAGTAGCCGCTGGTCAATAAAAAGTAGCAACCACATTGGAAACAAGCCTATAAAGCACCATCAGACACCAGATTAAGATCACTGGACACTTGCAGGGTTATTCATTAACACCAAATTTTGTCCAGTTAGAGAAAATCTGGTGAAAATGACAGAATTCAAACTGCAATGCAATTCTCATATTTACTAAAGCCAAATAGGATGACAGGTGGGAGAGGGTTATTAAATGTAAAAGAAAACAGGGGAAACATCCTAATGTCCCCCACTGCTGCCCTGTGATCATCTGGCGAGGGATACTAATTTTACACCTTGGGGACCTAGGGTCTCCACCCCAGCCCCCAACTATTAGCGACTGGTGGGGGCTCTACATATTTAATGCAAGGTGGGAAACCTAATATCTCCCCCATGAGGTTTGGATGGGGATGTAAATATAATAGAAGAACGGGGTGGGGGGAGGGGGAGGGATTGTAAGTCATCCCCAAGCCCCCACCCCATTTAAAATCACTTAGAATTTTTAACAATTCTGACTATAGTGAATAATCCAGATAGTCTCATTGTTTGAATAACTTTCTGTCTACCTTCTTTAACCATCTTTATTTCAATAACATATTTTTAAATTTAGAATTATAAACTATAAACTAAATAAACACTTTTTTTTTTTTTGGTAAAAGTCGAGAAACTCTGCTTTATCCAACCATATCTTAAAGAAACATAATTTAAAACTTGTTCAGGCTTTTAGGGAATTGTTTCTTCTTTCTGTTTTATTTAAAGGATCACCATAGGGTCAGGAACACAAACATGTATTCCTGACCCTATAGTGTTAACACCACCATCTAGCCCCCCTGGACTCTTCATGCCTCCATAAATATAGCAAAATCTTACTGTATTCAAGCTAGAAGCTGTAACTCTGCATACTGTTAGACTCAGAAAAAACAAGCAGTCTGCTGACTCCATCAGATGTGGTAGCCTGATCCAATCACAGTGCTCCCCCATAGGATTGGCTGAGACTGACAAAGAGGCAGATCAGGGGCAGAGCCAGCATTATTCAAACACAGCCCTGGCCAATCAGCATCTCCTCATAGAGATGAATTGAATCAATGTATCTCTATGAGGAAAGTTCAGTTTCTGCATGCAGAGGGAGGAGACACTGAATGTTTGGATGCATTTTAGGCAGCCATGACCCAGGAAGGATCTCTAGCAGCAATCTGAGGAGTGACCAGTGAAGTTATCACTAGGCTCTAATGTAAATACTGCATTTTCTCTGAAAAGACAGTGTTTACAGCAAAAAGCCTGAAAGTAATGATTCTACTCACCAGAACAAATTCAATAAGCTGTAGTTGTTCTGGTGGCTATAGTGTCCCTTTAAGCTTGGTAACAAAAATTGAGCTACAATGCACAAAGCAACACAATAATTTATTGAAACAATAGAAGACAAATGTAAAAATAACAGAAATTAGAGTATTGAATGTCTACCAACCAATTTCTTTTGATGCTTCTAAATGGGAAATTGAAATGTAACCACCTGCTTTATTGCAAACAACGAAATATTGTCCTGTTTAAAAATATCACGCTACAGTAAAATAATAATAAATAAACTGTTTAATAATATGAGCAAAGCTACACAACATACATCCATGACAATCC